GCTACTTGATCTTATCTATGATCTCCTCAAAATGAGGAGTCCTTCTTTCAGGCACTTCCACCACCAGTCAAAGCTTTTCCAAGCGATCATGAGTGCCCTGCAAGTAGGCCAGTCACCTTGCTTCAAGGCCTTGGCCTTTCCGAAGGCTGAAGAGGCTGAGACTGAAGGTTCTTCGTTTTCCAAAAACTCCTCTCTTGTTAGGAGCGCAGCTGCAGTGGCTCTATCTCCTCACATGATTCAGGAGGCAGCCCAGCCTCTCACGCTTCAGGCTTGCCCACACCGGCCATTAACTGGATTTGCAGCTTTTCCAACTCAAACAGCTAGCAGTATGCACATATATAGCTAGGCACAGCTTGGAAAAGGCAAAGAGGAGGAAGCCAGCCCCAGCCAGCTAAGCCTTGGAAAGGGAGCCCTTGGAAAGGGGGGGGCCGAGACATGGCATGATTGGCTTGCTGACAGAGGCCATGGTCCCCCATCTTGCCTTGGTAAAGGATTTGCGGGCCTCTGAGAACTTGAGCATGCCATGGTGAAGCTCATCGGGCTGTGGCAAGCCTTGGGAAAGGTAGAGCCCAACCATGAGTCATGGAACTCAGGAGTCTACACTGGCTCAGTTACAAGATTAAAGGACCGGAAAACCTCACATGTGTAGTTTAACCCAAATCTAAGTAAGATTATATTAGGACAGTGTCGCCGGCCGAAATAAGACATGTTCAAAGAGAAAGCGAGAAGAGGAAACTTTCAAACGATGCGAGGAACCCACAACGCGAACGCGAAGAGAACAAAACACGATTCATTTTACGACACATGATCACCATCTCGCTCTCAACGTGGTCGTTCGTGTAGACCTGAGTCAGGTTTACTCACATGTCCCCTCAGACTGAAGCTCAGACGGCGTGCAAAGCCCCTCGACCGGCGCCATGGATGCATCAGCCCGGGACGTCTCAGCAGGAGCTGGCATCAGCAGTGTAAGCGAAGCCACCTTCTTCAACCATCCAGAAGTCACGTACTGGCCTGTGAATTGGCGTTTGACTTGTTTGACCTGCTGCTTGAACTCACGTTTCAGTTGCAGATCTTCCCATTCCTTTTCCCCAACAGGATCATCCTGCTCATCGACCAATCCATGGAGAAAGCGCAAAGCCAAGAATCTTGCCGGGCTGAAAGGCTTCGTGAAAAGATCTCCCCAGTTGTAGCGCGTGCACCCCGGCTTGATCTGCAGCCTGCCTTGCTGAACAGCATCCTGAAGCCACAAGAACCTGCCTTCGATGTGCTTGGCCGACTTGGATACTCCCTGCCCGAAAGCAAGCTGTCTGGCACTCGTGTTGCCCAGCAAAACAACCAACTGACACGGTTCACCAGCCACGAACATAATCATTGTTTTCATGTACAGTCTCTGGGGCGCACGGCTAATCGCAGCATAAAATTCAGCCTCCATGGATGACAAAGATAAGCTCTTCTGGGTCCGGCACGTGTAGTATGTGTAACAGTGTAACTAGAGTCCAGAACGAAGGACCCTCCGCCAACAGAACACCGATCCTGCTTCCTCGACCCTGACCAGTCTTTCAAGTAGGTGTTCACCACTGTTCGAACAACTGACATTCAAGCTGGACATCAATTTTGAAGCGCCAAGAGGACCTATACAAATCGAAGTAGCATAATTGATCGTGTTGAGCAGGTACTGCACCAACTTCCCCAGTCCACGAAGGGCTTGCTTTGTCGGGCTTGCCATGGAGTCTGATGGTGTACCGAAGGCCGGTCTGCTGACATGTACAACCCTGTATCCACTGCAGCTTGAAATTTGCTTGCATCTATGGGAGACAGCAATTCGCTTGTATCCTTGTCACGTAGCTCTTGCATGTGTGGAACTCTTTGTCGATTGTTTGGTCTTACATCCAACAATGCTGCCATATGCTCGATGTATTGCGGTGCCTGTCGAATCACAATCCTATCGTCCAACAACGTATGCCGCCGCATGAGGAAAAATTCGTCACCACATTTCCATGCAATCTCCACCGCCCCTCGGAATCTGGACTGGACTTCACAATCGGCATGACAGCCCTAGCACCAGAATACTGTCATCCACATGAATCATACCTGGACCTTCAGGTACTTTGATGATAGCAGGACACTCAGCACATTGGGAAACAGTGAAATGTTTGGGGCAAAAATGAAACAAAATCTTGGAACCACCGACTCGACCCTTCTCTTTGCCCCGGGAGGAAGAAACAGAGAGAAAGATAGAGACAGCGTCCCTCCCTGGGACGCATAGCCCACAAGAGGAAGAAGGAGAGAGAGAGAGAGAGAGAGAGACAGAGAGAGGCAGCCAGACGGTCCTGATGCAGAGCAATGCAGCACACCCAGCGGGCGCGCCACAGACAACACAGCAAAATGCAGAAGCAGAGGAGCAGCAACCACAATGCACCGCCGGTTCACACACAGCAGGAGCAAGTCAAACACAACCAACCACAACCAACACCACAGGCCGCACCAAGGCTAAATCCACCAAAGCCCACCACCACCACCACCACCACCACCACCAACAACCAGACAAACACCAACAGCAAGCAATTCCAGCTACCATTTACATTTCACCACCTTCCTCAACAAGCAACCGCCCTTCACTGCCCTACAGCATGGGCAGGGACCTAATGCAACATCACGTGGCCTCCAGAACACTCACACCAGCAAGTTTAGCTAACAACCCAATGCCACCACCCACCACCACAACCACCAAGAGAGGAGGTGGAACTAGCCTTACAAATAGCACAATCCCTCACCACCCACGTCCAACAACTCACCACCAAAATCGTGACAAGCTACCACACTCCATTGCCAACAGAACCCCACCCAAATGACGTGATCCTCATAGACAGCCAAGACTCCCAGCAGCAGCAGGGGGCGACCAGCGTAGACAACCAACATGAGGGAGCACAGCGCCCGACCACAGATCACACCCCTAACTGCAGGTGGTGCCACACTGTCAGCAGCCAGGCCGCCGCGTCGTTATGGTCATCCCAGTGTCTTCAGGATCAACAACTTATACATGTGTGTGTGAGAGGATATATATATATATCCATACATTGGCGAGCTCCTGGATTGCTTAAGACTTAAGGTTCGGAGGGTGCAAATCGCCGAAGCTTGGAAATCCTAAAGTCATGCAAATCGAGTGGCTTGATCCCGAAAGAATGGAAATGGCTGCCTGTAAGTTTGCCAAAATAAAGGAGAATGCGCAATACAAAAACCGAAATAAGCCCGACAAATACATGACCTATTGCTCCAAATTTCCCGACAAAAAACGAATTCAGCCCGACTAATACATGACCTATTGCTCCAACTTTCCCGACAACAAAAAAATTAAGCCCGACAAATACATCACCAATTGCTCCAAATTTCCCGCCAAAAAAACATGACCTACTGTTCCAAATTCCCGACAAAAAACAATTTAGCCCGACAAATACTTGACCAATTGCTCCTAATTTATGCTCCTCAGGGGACGCGCAACCCGGCAGCGCGTGAGCCCCGCTCAAGCAGAATCTCGATTATCCGAACCAGGGGGTCTGCTATTCCGTATGTGGTCCTTTGGAAATGCCTCTCAGCCTGATTACTGGAACCTCACCAGGGTTTACTGTAGGGTTTAGGGTATTTAAGCTACGTTGTTTTGCATCATGCACTCCAATACTTTTGCTACTGCATGTTCACTCGGACCATTGACTATGCTCAAGCCCACTGAAAAAGGTGTAGCGCGCGTTGCACTATTCATGGCTTAACGGATAACTGCTGTGTACAACATCCTGCGTGTTATTTCTGGTAACTANNCAGTGCGTGAGTACAAGTACAATGGATGCAAAGAGCATTATCCCCGGAGATGATACCAGCCGTCGGCCCACCCAGATCTTTCATGCCCCCGGCAACGGGTGGTCAAGAAGGTCTAGTGGTTGCGACTGCTTATGGCACTACCCCCCAGAGAAGCACAGCATACACAACAAGCTCGGGAGTTTCAGCTTCAGGTGGGGATACGTACCAACAGGCTAATCAGTACAATCAGTCGAACTTGTACCAAAGCATTACTGTTATCAATCTTGGATACTCGGTGGATCATGTAAGAGAAGAACTGAGACAAATCATGGATGAGGTCGGTATCAGAATGAGGCTTCGGAGATTAGACTAGATACCCTAGACCACAGGCCGAGAGAAGGCACCTCGAAGTGGTAGCCAAGCCTGAAAGAAACATCTCCTCAATCGAAGTCAGAGCCGCTGATCGCGATAAGTACCTAGTCCAAGAGCTCCAGAACGCGCAGGAACGAAACATGGCAATGCAGCGGGGCCATGCTGGTAATGTCTCAATAGCGGAAGCAATTCAGGCCCAAAGGCTCCGAGAGACCTACACCAATGAGATGGCCGAGGTCGCTAGAACTAATCAGGAGTTCCTCTTGGAAGAGTTATCAAAGAACTTCGTTAAGTTCCGTAGGGAAGAAGCATTTAGGTTTGCAAGGACGGAGGATGAAAAATGTAGGGGTTTGCTATTGCACCTCCTCGTGCTCGCGGATCAACTTGTTCAGCTGTTCCTCTGCATCGATTTTCTTTTGCATGGCTGCGCAGATGCCGGCCGTCGGCTTCATCTTGTCCTGGAGGAGGCTGCGCAGCTCGGTCAGCACACGTCTGGTCATCCCTGGGTTGTCGAGCTTGGTCGTCTGGCCGTGAGAGCCCACTCGAGGGATGTACTCCAGACGCAGATTGCAAACTGCACAGTGGCGCCAAGCCCCGTGCATGTTGCTCTGTGGCCTCATCGGGATGTGCTGGCTCATGCAGGGCCATTGCTTGTCCTCCATTCTGGGATCTCGAGGGTCGGCCTTGAGGATCCTTTGGTAATCCAAGGGTGCTGCCTTGAACTTGGGCCGAGTCTGTCGGCGAACGTGGTCCGTCACGTCGCGCTCGGTGGGCATGGCCATCGCGAGAACTTGGAGAGGAAGTAGTCGGGATCAAGGTATGTGCCAGGGGCACACTCAGTGAAGATTGAGCTGATACAGCTGGGCACGTAGAGCTTGTGATGCATCATAGAGACGCCACATGCGATCCCGAGCTGTCTGGGTCTCACTCTCATGGAATGCATGATCAGCCGCTGTCAGGTCAAAGAAGGCTGTGTTTAGCTCAATGTACGAATGCTCTCCAACTGGACTTGACGTGGAGGAACCTCTCCGAACCCTTATATGTGCATGACCCTCATGATTCACACGGCCCTGAATCAGATACTGTACCACATCCAAGACATAATGGCCCTTGTTGTTGGTATCAAGCTGAAAGATGGAAGGATTCCACTCTTTGGCATTCATTGCAAGACCCGTGGTGAAGTCAATCATCATCCCAACGCCCCGAGGTCCAAGGTGATCCATACCTATCAAGACCGGAACTAGTGTGCTCTTGTCAAAGTCGGCCTGGAAGTGCTCAGCAGGATTGGGAAGCATGTACAGTGAAAAAGTCTTGCACTCACCCGTAACGGAACTTGACAGATGAACCCTGCAAAGTGCTCTGCCCCAACAACCATTCCCAAACCGAAAGTATGGACGCGCTGATTGATCAATCTCCACAGTCGTGGACCGGTCCTGTGCCAGCACTGAAGAAATGAGACCACGGACTACCAGGAGGAAGCTGTCGTTGAAGCAAGCTCATGAGAATCAGCCAGTTCAAAAGCACCCGCAAAGAGCTCTTGGTTGTAGGCGTTGACAGTTCGATAGCCTTCATGGGGGGATGATTTGCTCTTGCCTTTGGACTTCCCTTTCCAAGAAGCATGGCCTTCAAGCCAGTATCCCTTCTTGCCCTTCGCTTTTGACTTGCTCTTGCCCTTGTAAATGTAGTTGTAATAGAGGTCGTCCGCTTCCATCCAGTAGTTCCGGAACTTGCCCCTTGCCGTTGAACTTGCCGCCATGAAGAGAAGGGTGTCTGCGGTCCGGGCAGTCACGGGACATGCGGTTGCCGCCGCCGTTGGGCTGACCGCTACTGGATGATGTCGGACCACCGAATCCTTGGTCCTTGCGTAGCTGCTGTGTTGCTTTTTGTGCTTCGGACCAAGTACGAGTGGCCTCCGTAGCAAGATTCTCGGCCATGCGTTCAGCCTGTTGGGCCTCACGAAGGGCAGAGTCATCACCAGCTGAACCTGAAGGAGGTTGAGATAGAGCTTGGAAGTTTTGAGAAGTCTCTTCTTCCCACCAGTCACGATTCCAGTCGTCATCGCTCCATTGTCCGGCATAGCACGATGAAGACCAATCATCCCAGCCATCTTCCCAGGCATCTTGGGATTCCGGTTCGAACCACTCGCCGTCATCCACAGAGGCCGCGAAGGTCTGGAAGTACCAAAATTTCCACGATGTTGCCCAAGAAGCTGTTCATCCCACACAGGCTCTGAAGAGCGGACGCGATGGTCTCATAGTCTAAGGAGTTCTTGGTGGTGGAGAGGATGTTGCGCTTCTCCTCAGCTGTGAGTCCAGCAGCTTGTAGTAGTCCCCATCCACGGAGCACCTCCATAATGAAGCTATCAGCAACCGAAAGTTCATCCAAAGGAGTCTTCTGAACATCAGGCACTGCGTTCTCTGGGATTGCTGCCAAAGGAGGACCCGTCACGGAGCCGCCATCATGTCGATGGGCTCGGTGAGGGCCCAGTTGCCCCAACAGGGGCGGCTTCAGCGTCTCCCGAAGGTCCTTGAGGTGCTGATCCGTCACCACCTTCGCCAGGAGAATCAGGTTGAGGAACATGGAACATGTTCAGCACCATCCTCATCTTCGCCAGTCCAGTCATCGTCATACCAGCCATTCCACCAGGACCACGATCGATCATCCCAAGTGTCATCCCCGTCGGCGGGTAGACCAAAGTCTCAACTGGACTCAGAGATGATCGCCTCCACGAACTCTTCATGAACAAGCGTCTCCCTGACCAGAAAGTTGCCGATTGTCTCGCCAGCGCTTTGCCTGAAGGAAAAGTATTGCTGGCAATGGCAAATGGCCGCAGCGTTGGGAAGCGGCTTCCTCACTAGTGGACTGCCAGCAAGCCTCTGTAGTAGAAGCTTGGTCCCATTCGCCTGATCAAAGGTCAGTTTGGACCAACAGGACCACCCAATCTACTAAGGAGTTTGGAGGCACAGTATCGACGCTTGTGTGTAGGTGTGCTCTGAACGAACCATGCTACCTCCCTGGTGTAGCGCCTCCAGGAGCGTGCCGAACCATCCCAAGAAGGCACCGCTGACTGCTCACGGCTGTAGAAAGGAGAAAACTGCACCCGGTCAGTGCAGGGAGAGACGAACGAATCCACTTCCTTGCTAAGGTGACCCCGGAATCCAAATTGGAGGCTACCTCTGGGATGGTCAGGAACTGCTGCAAGTTGTGCTTCTCGCCCCTCCTGATAGCAGCAGAACGTCAAAAACAGCATTCCCTTCACTGAAGTAGCCCGGGTCGAAATCGCTTCTGCCCTCAAGTCTTCTGGCAGACACTCCAACAACAACATTGCAGCCCTCTGTTCTACCCGTTGAAAGCGGTCAAGAGGGGGAACATCAGCAAGAATCTTCTGGTGCAAAGTCAACAGCACAATCGGTGAACTCTCTAACCATGTAGTATACGACCCCATGACCTCTCGGAGCAAATCCCTCCACCATGCTGCCGCGCCTGCAGACAGAGTCGCCATTGAAGGAGTCCAAGTTGTGCCAGCCAGTCCCCCACCATCACTGCGGCGTCTCCCCGGCCGTACCTTTCACAGGTGGCAGGATGGGACACTAACGAGCCTCCCTCCAAAACAAACACAAGGTAGACGCTGGCCCTCATCGTGGATGAAACCTCTTTGACCCTCCTCTGTAGGAACCCCGTCTACACAAGGCCCACATCCCGTCGTCGCGCTGGAAAGAACGGAGGTTGGGTAGATTGATGGAAGGCTTGGATGTGGTGCCCTGCAAGTATGCATCCATGGACCTGCGACTGCTTCCCCTCAAAACCATGCATGACCCTGAAGACGCGAAAGCCACCCCGGTGGAGCCCATGCAAGACAACATACTTAAGCAAGATCCCATTGGTGCACTCACTGGGCCCATTCCTGGCAAGCACGACCTGGTGAAGGCGGAGATTGCCCTGTCATAGGGAACCCAAACAAGTAGCCACGTTTACTTGCCCAGCAGCCGTGGTTTCCGCGCCAGCTCCGCCCACGTTCCGCCTTTCTGGAGGCAGAAAGTATCCCAAAGTAGACGGAGGAGGCGGAGGAAGATTCTGCAAAGCTGAGTCCCCACTGCTGCACCATGGCTTCGTGCTCCCGCAGGGGCAAAGGACGAGTCGGTGTAGGCACTTAGCTCCAGTTCTG